ATACTCGAGAATAGCTGTGAGCAAAAATAGAAGAAGCTGTTAACAGCATCAGAGACCAACTATTGAAAGTCAGATTTTAACGAGAAAATAAAAAAAACGTATTGAAGTCAATGATGGTCATTTTGAGAATCTTNCCTGTTAATTCTCTTTCCATTGGTATAAGCATTCCCTATACCTAAATCCCACCGATTTTGAGATATTTGAACATAAGTACAGAGACGAATATAATGCGACAGTTAGCTCTAGGTTGGCTGTGGAAAAACATTTAAATGTCACCAAGTGTCATTACTTATTTAGCAGATTTGCTGTCATTGCTGTAAAGCGAGTTTGTCGATTTTCCAAGTGTTTTCAATAACAATGGCACACTCTGGGTGCATAATAAAATAAGTAAGCATAATAAAATTTTCAGCTGTTATTGTGTTTGTCTTAATTCGTATTAACTCTGGTAACGTATTTCGAAACAAATAATTTTTTGATTTAATTTTTACTGAAACCCTTAAATTGCAGATACACTTTTATTTAGAATTGAACGTAGTTTAATAATTTCTTATTGGAAGTTCAGATTTTTGAGGGACAAAAAAGTTTGATATTTTTTACCCTGGCAAAACCTTACTACAAGTAGCGCCTCCTAGAACTGATTACAAAATAGTTATCATTTTCATAATTACCACCTCATAGAACATGGCATACAAACTTTCAAGACAATCGGTTCAAAGACGCTTAAGATATTACAAAAAATCTAAAATATTTTTTACCTTTAACACCCAGTAGATCGGAAAGGAGCAATATTCGGATAAGGCATGTTTTTTTAATAGCTCTGTTTTGATGTCGGCCACCTGTCATTAAGCTCTGTCCCATTATTAATGGATCACTCTGTATAAAAATGGTAACTTTAGTTTAAATGTATGATGGACACATCCTTAATTTCCGCAATGGAAATGCTATTACAGAGTAATGTCATTTACGTTAGTGATAAATGATTTGGGTCCAGTCTATCTAATGATGAACGATACCCAGTATAATCGATACTCTACTAACCGATACGTTTTAAAAGGAAAACATGACTGTGTAAAGAATGAAAAAATTAAAATGATGACGCAACACATCTTTGAAAATAAATTATATATAGGGTGTCTCTTTAGGCAGTGTAAAAAAATCTATACAAGCCTTAGTCCGAAAGTCTTTAATTTGAAAAAAATTATGTTACAGACTGTTAAATCAAACAATCTATCATAATTAGTAACAATATTCATTTGATTTAGACTTTCAAAATAAAGAAAAATATGACCAGGAATTAGTACATTGTCATTCTGCACTGCAAGATTTTCGAACAGGTTTAAAAATATTTCCTGATCAATTAAAAATATAGAGTGTGGTATGTATAACGTGTGAATAAAACGAGAATAATAAGTATATAAAATATTTGTAAAATATATGTATTCCTATATGCCATTAAGACTCCACCACCGTAGCATTACATCGATTTTTTTGACAAAGAATATCGGTTGGAGCTCGAATGAGCGTATTTTTCGTATTTTATCCTCGAGTTAGTTTCACCTTTAGTAATTGTTTCGTGATACCTACTCAAATCTTTTAGGTGCTCTGTCAAGTGAGGTATACATTTTTAATAAATACAAGAAGTCGCACTTTTACACTGAAAGAAATGCGCTTTATTCTTTATTAGAATTATATATGCCATTATAAGACCATTGTATACCATATGCGACAGTTAAACAGGTGAATAATGGATATAAAACGGGTACTGCTAGCACAGTTGTATAGTGACCTTATTCTTTATTAAATTATTGTATAACTAGTATACAACGTTTTTTATACCCTTTACGAAATAATAGCAATAACTGTTATTAAAGTGTTCCATATCGTTATTAGAACATCTAGTACTGGTTATAAGTTTTATAATGTATTAAACTGTTGTATAAGCTACGATTCTAATGTAAACATAAAACATACATACATTTAAGTATTAGAAATGATGACAAATCGCTCCCAAAACTGTCCAGTTTATTTTCTTAGCACCGACGCACCCGTGTTTGCTTGTATTACATGAGAATTTGCACTATAACTCTTCCACTTAAGAATGAAGGATCCCCTGAAAGGTTGAGCTTCTTTCCATCTAATTATGAGAATTTGCACTATAACTCTTCCACCTTAAGAATGAAGCATCCCCAGAAAGGTTGAGCTTCTTTCCATATAATTTTATTTCCTCTGGTTGATTGACTTTATACCCATGCTCTTCTTTGTCACCGTTAACCTTCTGTTCCTCCATCTTATGTAAAACTTAACATCAGCGGTTTCTAATAGGGCATACAAAATAATAATTTTTAAGATTTAGACAAGATTTACATTTGAAAAAACTAAACAATTACAAGCCATAAAACAGTTAGATACTTAGATAATTTTCCATTTGACACAACGCGATATGATCATGTGCCTATGCTGTCTGTTTTCATCAAACTATACTTGTAATAGTCGTAAGTCGATGCACAGCGGACTGTCGGAAATTTTACGATCATAACCGATTATGCACCGAGAGGTGACGATCACTTAACTATTATAAGACGCGTTTTACACGTTAAAAACGGAAACATATTCAGTATAAGAACGAATAATTCTGTTAATACGATTGTTGTATACAAATTCGGATACTGGTCTTTATACAACAAATCTTCCCTACTATACAATTGGAACATGATGTCTATTAACACATAATAATGTATAAGTAATTCATTATAACCTTTATTTCATAGATGCATAATGTGTATTAAGCACCTTTCAGTTAAACTCATTGAATAATGAGTATGGAGATTGCTTTTTTTTAATAAAAGTTGTATATTTGTTATAAAATTTTTAATATGCGCTATACACATTATTCTAGATAAACAGTTTAATAAGCCCATTTCTTTCAGTGTAGCATTGAAAGATCACGAAGAACATATAAACATCAGAATACCGTTCCTGTTTTGTCTAGTAGATTTGTAAAGATACTAAATAATTGTGGTTAATGTTTGTGTTAATAGTTTCCTTAAAACATTATGCGGGGTGTGATTATGTTTATAGTACCGTACGCGATTTCTGTATCAATAGGAGTGCAAAATTCCGGAAACGTAAGATAAACATACCAGGTAAAAATATGTTTTTTTCCCTTATTTTGAATGCAACTAGTACGGTGAAAATATTTTGTTTGTAACTTAGTTAGAGTTTGTAAAATGCTGGACAAAATATTGCGCCTATAAACCCCCCCTTAAGCATGATACTGTTAAGCAAGAAATATTTTATTGGTCTGTGAGCATTAAGCAACTTTTTCCTAGTCTTTATCGTTTTATATATACTTAGTTCTGAATCTATTAACAAGAAATTTGGAATATAGTACCAATATTTCGTACTATGCTAGTAAGTCAGCATTTCTATTGTCAGTGCCGTAGATATTGGGGTGAACCGTAATATCTGCGCATATACCTTGATTAAAGCCAGATATTTATTATTTGTGGACACAAATTACCAAAAGACCTACTTCTCGAATAGGGTGTGTTTACGGACCAAGATTTATATAAACTGTTTGCTTTGTATGAAATGTCATTTCTAAAATTTGTGCATCTCCTCGCGGGACACCCTGTATATTAAATATGTAAGATATAAGATGAAGAAGTGATATAACATTTTTGCAGTCATATAGTTAGTTCTCATTGCCCGACTCAAACTAACAACGAAAATATCTAGGACTATGTAAACGTTATGTGTAATTATAAAAAAAGGTCAAACGTATATTACTTTACAGCCAAAATTATTCCTGAAATGAGAGAAAATATCAAAAACTCGATTACGAAACAACTTAAAATTACAGTTTTGATCAAAAACAAACTTGTCACATCTTGGTACATGTACAGTTAATATGACATTGCGCTTTATATGCATAGTGTTTTAATGCGTCTATAGAATAGATGCGGCGTATTTTATGAAAAATCTAACAACCCGCTGATGACTTACTGTAACTTTGAAAGCCTTTTTTGAAAGTCAGTTTTATCATTTTCAAGTGGGTATTTTCAAGGCAAACTAATATTTTTAACAGAAACGGTTTACAACTTTTCAAAATTTTAAGCTTCATAAAAAAGATACGGGCAACTATAAATTTTTAAAACTTAAGATACAATTAAGCCAGATTGTCAATAAAAAAATATATACTATGGAACTTGGATCAATAAATGAGTTAAGACACTCTGTATATACATAAAAAATAAGAATAGTAACCATCGCAATAATACAACCTACTAAAATTTAACAGGTGGCAAAGAGATACATACCCAAATTATGAAAGGTTTTAGTGAGCTTTACGACATATTTTTTGAAATTTATTCTGAATTATCTCGCATAGATAACTCCTTAGATAGCTTTCTAAGAATGTGAAAAGAATGAAAATGAATGGAATAACAAAACACAAAACAATTTAATATTTGTAAAGAGAAAAAAAAAGTAGTTGTTTTGATAATAATGATAATCTCAAATTTAGTATGTACTTTTTAATAACAAATTACTAATTCAAAGTTTAACTATTCTTATTGAAACAATATTGAAAAGTTGGTTAAAAAAATATCAGTTATTCACATACTTTCAATATTGAATATCTTAGTATAAAGAAATACAAAATAAACTTTTCTCATTGGCTATAGAAAAATAAATATTTTCGCAGTACAATCTAGCAATTTTGAAATTTTTACTTTAAGAGTCTCTTAGTAATTAGTGGTAGTGATGTATGGTGTATCCAAAAATAAATCAACTTCTAAATTTGCAAATTATTCCCAACTTAAGCGTATCTATACCTTTACTTAAACAAGATATCGATACATCTAATTTGAGATACACTGTATTGCTTTATGTACACATTGTTCACTGATCTTTACACAACGCGATGCGACATTATTATAGAAAAGTGCTTGTGTAGAGAGAAGTAAAAAGTATTTTTCTAAACTAATTCCCCTGCTCAGGTCTCCGCGAAGGATATGTCCGACCACACGCTGAAGTTGACAGTTATCGACGGCGGCCGTGTCAAGAAAAAGAGTGAAATTGGCCATGTCACATATCCTCTTAAGGATTTGGAAATTGGGGATGGGACAGAGCAACAGCTTTTCAAAATGGACCTTGAAAAGGTAGGTAATACTCAAGTATTTATATTTAAGGAGAAAATAATCGGATCACTTGAAAAAGATGTAAAAAAAATATATTAATATGAAATAGAACAAGATTGTTTTATTTTTTCTTTATTTCTTATCCTTCCGTTGTATTTTTTAGAACATAGTTTTAATTAAGGGGATTTTTGTGCTTCCAATTAAATTAAATACTTTTAATTGTATGCAAAGTAATTTCGGTTGTAAGTATTGCAGTAATATACAGGGTAGCCCATCGAAATCGTACCGCAAGGCATTACAGGGTAGTAATGAACTTTTCGGCAAAATCCAAAAACAGGTAAAGTTTGCTTCTGAGGGGGACAACTTTTGGCGCAAAAAGCATAGCAAAATCTTCAACCCCCTAAGTGGGGGTGCCATCCCCCAAATTTTTTTAAATGGGAATGGGGGTCAAGTGGGGGGTCATTAGAAAGGGCTTTTAATTCTCTATACATCGATTCTTACTTTTTGAAAATCGATCCATTATTTTAGAAAATATGCAGCTTTGAAAATACGAACAATATTTTTGACGAGAAATGCGAAAATCGATTTAATTTTACTTCAAAACTTACGGTATTAGCTTGGTAAATTCCTTCAAAAGAATTCGCTGTTTTTTTTTTCTGATTTGCGAATTCTTTAGCCTGATTTTGGTGAGCAAAAAATTGTCCGCTTTTTGTTTCGTATTTAGATAGGCCACAAGAAGTTGCTAGATAACTGTCTTGTGACTTGTAGTTGAAGAGTACCAATACTGCCGAGTCTTTTAAATTGATTAATTATGGTGTACTCAATTCCAGAAAGAGTAGAAATTATTGAGCTTTTTTTCAAAAACAATGAATGCGGAAATCGGGTCGCCGAACTGTTCAACCAACGGCATCCTGAGAAACATGCGTCTGGAAAAATTGTTCGCGAATTGGTGGCCAAATTTCGCGAAACTGGCTCCGTTCATAACAAAAAGAGGCAGGTTGAAAATCCGGTACTAAATGAACCTACGGAAATAGCGGTATTGGGGCAAGTGGCAATGGATAGTACGCTGAGTACAATGCAATTGGCTACTGCGACAGGAGTGAGTCGTACAAGTGTCCAACGAATATTAAAAAAATACAAATTCCATCCTTATAAGATTCGGCTAGTGCAAGAGCTAAATGAAGACGATTTTGATCGTCGTTTGCAATTTTGCGAAATAATGACTGAACGAGCGATAAACGATAATTTCCTCTTTAATGTGTGTTTTTCGGACGAGTGTACGTTCTTCTTGAATGGTTTAGTGAATCGCCATAATTGTCGTTACTGGGCTGATACCAATCCAAGGATTTTCCATGAGACACACTCCCAACACCCCCAGAAGTTGAATGTATGGGCAGGTATTTTTGGAAATTCCATTGTAGGTCCTTTTTTCCTTCCTGGAAATTTGACAGGCGATATGTACTTGGATTTACTACAAAATGTCATCGACCCAGCTCTAACAAATATCATAGAGGACGACCCTGCTTACAATGAACACGAACTGATTTTCCAGCAAGACGGAGCTCCTCCACATTACTCGCTCAATGTGCGCAATTACCTAAATGAGACGTTTCCAGGACGCTGGATAGGACGAAGAGGTGCAATTGAGTGGCCCCCTCGGTCACCCGACTTAAATCCTTTAGATTTCTTTCTCTGGGGGCACATTAAAAGCAAAGTTTACAGCACTCCACCTGATACCTTGGAAGATCTGCGAGGACGAATCATTAATGTATGTCGCGAAGTAACACCGCAAGTGCTCCAGAATGTTCGACAACGGTTTGAAGACAACCTGTATCATTGTATGCAAGTTGGCGGACAACATTTTCAGCATTTACTTGACTAATACCGTAAGTTTTGAAGTAAAATTAAATCGATTTTCGCATTTCTCGTCAAAAATATTGTTCGTATTTTCAAAGCTGCATATTTTCTAAAATAATGAATCGATTTTCAAAAAGTAAGAATCGATGTATAGAGAATTAAAAGCCCTTTCTAATGACCCCCCACTTGACCCCCATTCCCATTTGAAAAAATTTAGGGGATAGCACCCCCACTTAGGGGGTTGAAGATTTTGGTATGCTTTTTGAGCCAAAAGTTGTCCCCCTCAGAAACAAATTTGACCTGTTTTTGGATTTTGCCGAAAAATTCTTTACTACCCTGTAATGCCTTGCGGTACGTTTTCGAAGGGCTACCCTGTATAAATACATACAAGAATTTTTGTTTTACTTGCTCAGTAAATAAATACCAAACGCTAGGTATAATACATAAATAAATGCACAGTACTGTTAATTTTTAAAACTTTATTCCAATAATGCAATAATTAAAAATATACAGGATGTCCCAAGGTATAGTGGTCATACATTAACTACAAATGGGAACAATTAATTTAAATCAACGTACCTTAGTCTAAAAATACTACGCTACTTTGTAATCGTATGTCACCTCACCATCACAGTCTTCGAAATTTCCAGGCTGATATTTATTCGGTAACAATTTAATGAAATTAAATTGAAAAATCTGTCTGAAACCTTAATTGACGACTTATAAATTTGTCTGAAATCGTAGACACTTATTTACTTTAAAATAATATCAGTAAATAAGTGCATTACAGTTTTATTTTATTTTAGACATTAATGTACAAAATGGAATATTTCACGCAATATCCATTAAAAAATGTTTGTAATTTTATTCGCAACATATATTTGTCTGTAGCAGAGAATAATGCTACAATAAGAGCGTTGATTAATACCTCAAAAAAAATAAGAAGGAGGTCTTTTCATTCGGTGCATTAAAATATCAGATTCTATATAAAGCATGTAATTAAATTTCACATTTCAGAGAAGACCTAAATTAATAAAGTCTTCCTAATTATTACTACTGTTTATATTGCAAACTGCAACAAAAATATGATGTATCTAATTTATTTACGACGTTTATAAGAGCAAATAAGCGTCAGAATATACGACTATTTAATACCCTTTGCATTATTTGCTAATGACAGGCAACCAGTTATACACTTTTCAGTAATTTGAGTTGCAATTCTTATAAACAAAGAGTTGATATTATTTCAAGATCTACTGAAAATATATCTACAGGTCTGATCAATTTTACTTCAAAAAAATATGCAATTAAAAATGAATTGATTATACATCTTAAATAGGTGGGGGTTTTCAGATCAAATTTCAGTATATTTTCTTTTACACACGTGTGCGAAATATAAATTTATTTTTTGAAGTCTTCGAAAAAGTAGTAAGTTCGTCATAATAGAGGGATATTTAAGAAAATAAGAGGATATGAAAGAAAGCATGTGAAAAATTATGAAGGAATCATCTTTGCAAATTATTAATTTTTACTAAATCAGTACAACCTCTGCAAAGAAGTAATGAGACCATTTCCGTTCTTAACAAAATTTGCACTTTAAAAAGGACAAAAAATTGTTTTTCGAGTAGAGAAAAGTAACCAGTTTACCTCATCTACACCACTCATTTGAACGCAAACCTAATTTGTTTACCCATTTTATTCATGAATTCCATATAAAGCATTATTATTTTATGACCACCTCTGCCTCCCTACCTACACGCTAGCCAGTTTTGAAATTTTTCGTAGCAGGATTCTTGTTTTTATAGCTATATTAAATATAGCATTATATTGATTAATATATTTTATTAGCAGTATTTAAATTCGGACATGCGGGCATAATTTCAAAAAGGATTTGCCTTATACAGTAAAGTAGCTACTTCAAGGCAATATTATTAATTTTATAGGATAGATATTTATTAAATTTACAGCTGGTAGATAATAAAAATATAAAATGCGAAGAAAGACCGTTTATTTATATTTTCAGGGTGGTCCAGGTTTTTTAATCGGGAAATTCCATCAAAAGGTAGAACAAATTATTTTAAGTAAAAAGTTTCATAGAAAATGCAGGATATTGAAATTAGAAAAAATATTAGTTTATGAACTGTGCAAAATATCTCTGAGACTGTTTTGAACTTTTGATTTATATAAGTAAAATTAAAAATTTATTAATTTAAAAAGTACACCAACCAGTGGCGGAGATACAGGAAGTCAGTACCATAAGTAGCCGAATTTAGACGCCACTAAATATTATGCAAATTCAGTTAGTGCTTTTCACAACAAATAGAATTTCCAAGAAGAAAACATTGTTCTATTTTGGCTGAAGAAAGCGTCGTTTTAGAGTTGAAATTTTTTAAAGTTAAGCTTATCACAAAGTTAAATATTGTAACGAATTTGAAATGATAATGTAGAAACTCAGATGAAAATATTGCCTGACCGAATTTAAAGTCGTATAAAAATTTTAATTATTATTGTAGCAACACCAAATTGGTATAAAATTGTTAATATGAATATTCTGGATATAAAACTAGTAACGATCAATGATATTACATAGTATATTTATTCTCAAGTACAGAATAAATGTTCAAAAAAATGAATGCCATCAACACTTGTGAGTAATCAGTACATAAAGAAAAACGAATTTAAACCTAGAGTGACTTATATCAAATAAAAGCTTAAAGTCTACAGATTAATCGGGTATACATATCGCAGGAAGATGAGTAAACTTGAAGATATCTCAATCCAATATAAACCATAACATAAACAATTTTCATCAAATGTCAAATTTTATAATAAATTTCACAAATGTCAAGGCTAAAGGTGGCTTTATAAGATTATCCAGAGATGACCTAAACAAAAATATAAAATAAAGAATATTTTAGGAAATAATGTATAGAATTGTAAATAAACGTAAAAGGGACATTTATTAAAAATGTGTTAGTTATAAGTAGTGGTGTGAAAAAGTGTTTGAAAAGGACATCCAAAGACTGAAAATTTCTGTGCATGGACCTTAAGCAAAGCTAGGGACAGAATAATCAGGAAGGTAGAGAAAAACAAAGAAATTATTGATTGGTTACTGCTTGGATTTTACAAGATGTAAGCGTGGAGACGCAGCCCAAGAAAAATTAAAAAATAAAACAAAAAGAAAGAGTCCAAGGAAGAAAATTAAATACTTACCAGTAAATCTATAGTTTGCCAGAGTCCAGAAAAAGTTATTTTGACAGCCCCTGAAAATTTTGCGCTACCAGCAGTAGAAAGCAGTTCCAAGGCAGTTTCCAGTGGCCCCATAAATAGTCTGCAAGGCAGAAGCCTACATAGAAAAGTAGTTTCCAGTAAAGAAATCTACAAATTTCACAACGTAATGGGTACCTAAAACACAGTGCACTAAAATATCGCTAGCTATTCCAAATAAATCATGCTTTCTCTCGCAACAAATCTTTGCAAAGTATAAATAACAAACCACAGGACTTACCTGTACAAAAATAAGCAGCATCCAATCACTAATAACTTAAATAATACAATATTTCGAAGAGCTCTGACAAAATCTATCAAAGAAACAGCCATTTTATTTAATTCTGACTAATTTTCATTCTTGTTTAGATGTAAGGATGCCCCTGAATAATAGGCAACAAATAATATAAGGAAATCTACTCCGGATTGCATAAATAAAGTTAATTAATAGAATTTTTTAATTATTCCTAATATTATTTGTAAGCTGAGCAGAAAAAGGCAAATTTTGTTGTTAAAAATATTCTTTATTGTGGAAAAACATATTCTATATAAAATAGATATTCATAAATTTGAGTTTATAAAGTCTTCAAATCAAAAATAATATAACAAAATTTTGAATAAACACTTTATTAAATTTCAAACTCTATTCATTCCAAAGTGTGTTGCATTGTACTAAATAGTTTGTGAGAACCGACTCCTGAGAATTTTCTGATATTGTCTATATAACAAGTTAGTGTCTACCAACAACTAACCAGGGATAAAGTACAAGGTAAGACATAAAAAATATATAGTAGAGGTTTGTATGATACATTTATAATTTAAATAAAAAATACAATCTAAACCAAAAACACACACACCTACAAAATTTATAATATTATTATTATTATTATTATTATTATTATTATTATTATTATTATTATTATTATTATTAAAAATAACTGTAAAACTGTTACCTAATTCTACAAAAACAATTTATAAAATTGAAATGTAAAATTTTTGCGACATTAATTTTTTATGTATATGTTGCATTTAAAATCGTATTTCTAACAAAAAAATCCTTTAAACTGTTTTAAAGTTATTTTCAATTTCACGTTAACTGGTAACTAAAACCTCTCGACCTTCGATTAAAATGGAAATGTCATTGGTAATGAAGTAGATATAGAATTTGTAAAATTTTCAGTGGCGTCGAAATTCTTACGCTTCTAATTATACTGACTACCGTTTCTCCTCTGCTGGTTAACGGGTTTGCAAGTAAACTTTTATTTTTAATTATATTTAGAATCAGAGGTTCAAGTCAAGGTATTTCAGAAAACATATTTGTTTCTAATTTTAAGACTCAGTATATCAAAAATGGTGGAAATACGATCCACCTTCATATAAAACTTTTTGCATAAACTAACTGTCAAATTTCCCCTTTGGGCCATACGCCCTATAATCTCTTTAAATAATTACTTTGGAATTAGTTTTACCATATTTGATAACAAGTTTATATCCATTAAGTTTTTATATCATTAGACGTTCATTTGCGTTAAAAATTATGTTATTAAAATAATGGTTATTTGTCACTCGGTCAGTTTTATGATTCATAACTCTTTTAGAAGTCATGAAACTGTTATTATGTCTACTTTATATTATGTTATGTCATGAAATTGTTATTATATCTACGTTATGTAGAATATTACCGCATTTTTTTGTAATTTTAGTGTAACAGTGCTAATAAAATACACCTACTATAATTTATCCATGACAAATTTATAAAAATGTTTGTCATTTTAGCCGTGAATATATTAATAGGATATTAAAAATTTGAATTATCACAATATGTATAAAAAAATAATTGTCATTGGTAATAAACTAATAAACTAAATTATTATTGTATCCTAACCTAACCTCATTAATCTATTAAGCCTGCTCCACATGACACAGTTACTCGTGGAACAAGAATATGGAAAATATTTTCCGATGCTGGAAGTGTCCACCACCTACCTCAACACATTTTATTATACACTCTTAAATATCTCTGAATATTAAACAAAATGTCCCTATTATTTTAAATGCATTCGCGGTTACTTATATTTTCTGCCGCAACTGCTCAACAGAATTAATTTCTTCACGATACACCACATCCATCAAGTTTGACCACACTGAGAAGTCCGGAGGGTTTAAGTCTGGACTTCTTGGTGGACAACTAAATTCATTCCAATCCACCATGGCCAATCCACCGATAAAGAAAATGTTCATTTAAATACTGGCGTACTGGCGTACTGGTGGTGCACCGTCGTGCATAAACCATATACTCTCTCTTAAAGCGAGTGGTACATCATCTAGCTCGTTTAAATGATGTTGAAGAAAGTTTAAATAATGAGGTCCAGTTAGATTGGGTGGCAATTCAGGTCCTATGAAAATACCAGAAATTAAACCACACCAAATATTCACCTTAAACTCATGCTGAAAATGTCTTTCTTTTACAGCATGCTGAATCTCACAAATTATTGTTTTTCCAATTGAAAACTCCTCGTCTAGTAAATGTCGCTTCATCAGTAAATAAAATCTTATTGAGGAAATCTGGGTTTTCCGTTTGCATATTTTGTATAAACTGAGCAAATTGTAGGCGAGCTGGTAAATCTTGAGGCAATAACTGCTGAACCAGAGTATAATGATATGGATGGGGCATTTCTTTTTTCAAAATTCTACAAATGGACGATTGGCTTACCCCGTTGCCACATTTACCGACGTGTACGAGTAGTAAAATTTTCTCTTCTTCATCGACTGTGATAGATTTTGGAGTACTATGGTTACTTTTTGGTCGAAAAGATTCAGATCCGCCTAAGCGATTGTAAAGATTTCTGAATAGTTTAAAATTAGGGTATTTGGGTACAATTGCACATATCTTCGGGCCGCCGCATGTTCATTAAAATTAGCCTGAGCAAAAACACAAATCATATCATGCATCTCACTGTTGGAAAAATTATATCATGGCATTTAAGCTAGCTAATAATTCTGAATAAATAATAAATCACACACACCCAAAATACGTTAATATTTATTGACATGAAAATTTGACACAAGCCTACTTAGAATTTTTTATTTACCTAGAAGTGGATCTTATTTGTGGAAGGGCGAAATGGGCGGTGACTATTAGGCGTCTTCATGATAGCCATCTTTCTCTATCGCACGGATTTCTATGACTTTCTTTATCGCTCTCACGTAACGGCCGATGAACCATGGGGACTTTCCGACCCTGTAGACACGATGTATTTATTAAATATGTATTCTCAAATTTTCTACTTACTATATGTACACTTACCAACTGACCCCAGGATAATAACTAATGCACACTTACCATTTTGTGAATTCCACATTCACAAAAAATTACGAGTTTCAGTTTGTTGAAATAAACCTTACTTACGTGGTTTTGTTGAAACAGGTGCGGCGTACATTTTATTAATTTACTTTTATATAGCTTTGGCGAATGTTTAGCAAGTAGAGAAACACTATAGACTGTATTGATATGCATCATCCACATTATATGATATTTGGCAAATATTTGGCAAGTAATCATGTCTTTTAAAATAGGTTTTATAGAACAGTAAGATCGTAAAGTAAATATGTAAATTTTATTGTTAAACACTAAGCAGCTTTCCTTAATGAACTTTTCTTAATTCTTTCCATATCTATATTTACCTAGATGGTGATTTCAAACAATTATGGAACATATACGGGGTCTGTACAGAAAATAATCAAACTTTATTAAACTTTATTAATAATTCTATTCATTATTGGTCCTTGTCCTTCAAAGTACTTCTCTCTCCTATTCACATACTTTCCCAGCGTTTCCATTCCGCGGAGCAGTCCTGGATAGCTTCATTTGAAATGGCCTTTTTTAGTCTAACGGCGTCCTTTCAGCAATGTTTTTAATTTTGAAAAAAAAATCACAATGAGCCAGGTCTGGAGAGTAAGGAAGGTGAGGGACGGTAATCTGATTTTTGACACAAAACATGGTGCAAAAATCATGAGTTATCTCCCCACATATCTGGTCCCTTTTTGTTGATTTTTTTAAGTAACCGTTATAAAATGCCTTTGGTACACACGGTTCACTGTTTCACCTTGAGACAAGAACTCAAAATGTACATTAAGCATCACTTTGACATTGGATCGAGGCTGACGCGTTCTTTCTTGGGGCGCGGAGCGTGGAGATTCTTTGCCAATCCATTGTAATAATTAAACTTTTCAATTCAATGAATATTCCATCGTCATTGGACTGTTTAAGGAGTTGCGACAAACGTCCACACGATTTTTTTTCTGTTGTTCGGTCATCAAACGAAGAACAAATTTTGCTACAACTCGATGCATGTTGCAATGCAGATGCAATTTCTCTGACGCATCAGATCTTTGACTTTCTAAACGTGAGAGTCATCAGTTGAAGTCAAATGTCTTGTCGGTCGAGGATCATCTTCAATTGATTGACGACCACTTTTAAATCGTGAAGACCATTCGTAACATTGCGTACGACCCAGACCATCGTCTTCGTAAGCTTATTTCAAAAGTTGAAACGTTTCTATAAAAGTTTTCCCCAGTTTCACGCATTTCATATTGCATCGTTGTTCCAAAGAATCGCACATTTCAAAAATCGTCACTAACACTTAAACACGTTGCACTCAAATAACAGTATCACGAAAACTAAATGAGATGTCAACAAACCAATACCATGTGGTTACAGAAGAGGTTATGCGCAACGCAATGCTGCCAACCGCATATTACTAAATATCAGCCCGTAATTCAAAAAGTTCGGTTGTTTTCTGAACAGACCTCGTATGATACCTATTAATAGATACTGTAGATATTGATATTTTTAAATCATTGCTTAACAGTATCTTCAAATAAAAACAAGGTGGTTGATTAAACTTAAATGTTATAATTAATAATTATTTTAAGTTCATCAATAGCAGTACCTATTAAGAATAAATACAGGGATGGCCAGAAGTACGGAATAAAATTCATATCTTTTGAATGAGTTAATTTTTGATTTTTTCCCATCTTTCGGTTATATAATAATTAATTTTTCTTCAATAGCAAGTTTTTTTTCATTTAGAAATTGAAACAACTAGATAATTTACAAAAATAAACTCAATGTTGCAAATGCTGAAAATGTCCTTCATTCACTATTTGGCATTCTCCAAGACGATAGTAAAAGCTGTCCACAGCATTCTGAATGACTTCAGCTGGTAAATTATGCATCTCCGCCCTAATCTTGTTCTTTAAATTCTCAATATTATCCGGTCT